AGGGTTTCCTATGCATAGTATCATGTCATCTGCAAATAATGAAAGTTTTACTTCTTCCTTACATATTTGGATATTTATTTTTCTTGTCTGATTATTGTGGCTAGGATTTCCAGTACTAAGTTGATAAAAGTGATAAGATTAGACATTCTTTTTTTGTTCCTAATCTTAGAGGAAAAGCTCTCAGCTTTTCTTCATTAAGAAGTTACCTGTGGGTTTTTCATATATGGCTTTTAGTATTTTGAGCTATGTTCCCTCTACAATACCACTTTTACTGAGAATTTTTATAATGAACAGATGTTAAATTTTTTCAAAATTTTTCTGGTGTATTGAAATGATCATATGATTTTTATCCTTAGTTTTGTTGATGTGGTGTATGACGTGGATTGATTTGTGAATATTGAACCATCCTTGCATCGCCAGAATAAATCCTACTTGATTGTGCTGAATAATCCTTTTAATGTATTGTTGAATGTAGTTTGCTAGTATTTTGTTGATGATTTTTGCATGTATGCTCACCAAGGATATCTACCTGTAGTTTTCTTTTTTTAATGGTGTCTGCCTGGTTTTGGTATCAGGGTAATGCCGACCTTGTATAATGTATTTGAAAATTTTCCTTCCTTTTCTATTTTTTGGACTAATTTGAGGAGAATAAGTATTAACTCTTCTTTAAATATTTGGTAGAGTTCACCTCTGAAGCCATCTGGTCCAGGACTTTTTTTTTTTTTTATTTTGGGGAATGTTTTCGTTACTGATTTAATTTCATTACTTGTTATCAGTCTGTTCAGATGTCTGTTTCTTCATGGTTCAGTTTTGAAAGATTGTATGTCCTTCTGTTGTTGGATAAAATGTAAAAGTCCATTAGATCCAGTTGATTGATGGTGCTTTTCAGTTCAATTATGATCTTCCTGAATTTCTGTCAATTTAATATATCCATTTCTGAGAGAAGAGTATTAAGGTCTCCAATTATAATAGTGGATTCATCTATTTTCTCTAGCAGTTCTACCAGTTTTTACCTCACATATTTTGACACTCTGTTAATAGGAGCAAACACATTAAGGTTTATTAATGTCTCCTTGGAGAATTGGCCTCTTTATCATTATGTAATACCCCTCTTATTCTTGACAATTTTTCTTGCTCTGAAATCTGCTTTGTCTGAAATTAATATAGCTATTCCTACTTTTGATTAGTGTTAGCATAGTATATATTTCTCCATTCCTTTACTTTGAATTATGTCTTTAAATTTAAAGTGAGTTTCTTATAGACACCAAATAATTTGATATTCTTTTGTTATCTGCTCTGACAGTCTTCATTCTTTTATTGCTGTTGTTTCATTTTGGTTATTTTGCTTGATACATGATTACATAAGAGGTATATTGCAAGTAATGGCCAAGACATCAACATTCTTAGTCACTAGAGTACATGGGGCAATCTATGTCTGTAATTGGTGTATTTAGACCAATCATATTTAAAGTGATTATTAATAATTGGATAATTACTTATAATATTTATAAGTGTTATCTATTCATTGACCTTTTTTAAAAAAATCTCTTCCACTCTTGTTGTATTCTCTGGTATTAACTGACTATTTTATATGATTCTCTTTCCTCTCTTCTCTTAGTATATTAATTTTATTTATTTAAAAAATTTACGTGGTTGTCCTGGAGTTTGCAATATGCATTTACAACTTATAAATTCACTTGCAAATAAGTCTATACCGTTTCATGTGTAGTGCAAGTATCTTTCAGCAGAATATTTTCAATTCCTCCCTCTTATCCCTTATAACATTATTGCCATTTATATTATTTACCAATATATTGTTATTATTATTTTGAATAGAGTATTATTTGTAAGACTGATTAAGAATAAGAAAAAAATACATTTACCTTAATGTATTCCTTCCCTAACCTTCTTCCTTTATGTATATCCAAGTTTCTGACCTAAATTATTTTCCTTCTCTCTATAGACCTTCTTTTAACATTTTGTATAATGCAGATCTCTGGTATGATAACAAATTCCCTCAACTTTTGTTTGAGAAAGTCTTTATTTCCCTCTTCACTACTAAAAGGAAATTTCACTGGATTCAGAATTCTAAGTTGGTGTTTTTTGTTTTTGTTTTTCTTTCAACACTGTAACTATTTCACACCACTTTATTCTTGCTTGCGTGGTTTCTGAAGAGAAGTTCAGTGTAATTCTTATCTTTGTTCCTGTATGGGTGAGGAGGATTTATTTCTCTCTGATTTTTTATTTTTTTAAAGATTTATTTATTTGAGAGAGAGACAGCGAGAGAGCATGAGATGGGGGAGGGTCAGAGGGAGAAGCAAAATCCCCGCTGAGCAGGGAACCTGATGTGGGACTTCATCCCAGGACTCCAGGGTCATGATCTGAGCCGAAGGCAGTCGCTTAACCAACTGAGCCACCCAGGTGCCCCACTCTCTGATTTTTTAAAAAGATTTTCTCTTTGTTTTTGATTTTGCAGCTTTAGTATAATATGCATAAGTGTAGTATTTTTTAAATATTTATTCTTCTTAGTAATCTCTGATCTTCCTGAATCTTTTGTTTGATGTCTCTCAATTTGGGAAAATTTTCAGTCATTGTTACTTTAAATATTTCTTCTGTTCCTTTTCCTTGTTCTTGTTATTTTGGTATTCTCATTACATTTATTCTACACCTTTTGTAATTGTTGCACAATTCTTCAATATTCTGTTCTTGTTTTTTTTTTTAATCTTTTTTTTTTCACTTTTCTTCCATTCTGGGAAGTTTCTATTGATATGCTTCAATATGTGACTCATGAAAGCGCAAAAGTGATAGTAAAGAGCAGCCTGGAGCCCTGGAGAGGCCCCCTCTTCAAGAGTGAGTGTGGGAGGGGGCGGGGGCTGGAGTGTTGAGGGGGCAGCTTTAGGACACCTCCGCTTAGTCAGCATGGTTAAAGATGAAGAGGGTCTCGTTGGCTACAGCCCTGGCCTGACTACATGGGGTGTACTTTGATTGGCAGACGAAGCTGTTGACCAGGGCTCACTTGATGTGCTCCTCCTGGGCAGCCTTCAGGTTCTCTTTCTTTCCATCATAGGCCTTCAGGGCAGAAGCTTGCAGGGCTCAGCCACAGGAGAAGGTCAGGGCCCACGGCTTCAGCAGGGGGCACTTGTTGATGGTATTGAGGTTGATGGATGCTTCCTCCTCCTGGGAAGGTGATCCAGTGACTTAGTTGACTTTGTCTGGACTACTGGTGAGCCCATCAAAGCTATTCATTTTGTTGAAGTGTTTTTGATTTTTAGCATTTACTTTTGCTTCTTAAAATTTTCATCTCTCTGCTTATATTTCCCATGTATTTTTTATTCAAGTATAATTAACATACAGTGTTAATATTCCCATGTATTCTTGTACGTTTTCCATTTTCTTAGTATACAAATTATAGTTATTTTAAATACCCGTCTGATAATTCTAAAATATATGTTATATCTAATTCTGGTTGTGATGCTTGCTTTATATCTTTGGACTGTGTTTTTTGCCTTTTTCATGCCTTGTAATTTTTGTTTTGAAGCCAGACATTATGCATTGGCTAAAAGGAACTCAGGTAAACAGGCTTTTAGTAAGAAGCTTTACTTTTATCTTACCGGGAGTTAGGTTATATTTACTGTTTGCTGTAGCTGTTGTATTAGTGATGGTAATTTCTTGTCCCCCTATTATCTGTGTATCCTAAAGAATCCAAATTCAATTGGGTCTGAGGACTTCAGTTTTCTCAGTTGTAGTCCACTATTCTTATACAGAGTCTTATTGTGGTGGTGGTAAAATATGTAAGGAGGAGAAATATATCATTGGATTTCAGTGTCTTAGTGAGCCTGTGTCCTTGGGCTGTGACTTTCACAAGTGATTTTTAGCTTTTTTCCCTCTTACATGAGAGAGGAAGGCTAGAGGGAGCTAGAGTTGAGTATTTCTCTTTCCCCACAGGAAATGTTAAAGAGGCTGGGGAAGTGTGTTTCCCTTACCTCACAGCAATGATTACAGGGTGCTGGATTTTAATATATACTTTCCCACACATCAGTTAGGCTCTGGTAAAACAAAGTAGTTTAACTCTGGTAAAGTAGTTTCCTTCGAGGGTAGGCTTTTGTTAAGGAAAACAGAACACTCTGGGCATATATTGAAATGGGTAATTTTCTTGTCCCAGAAACGTGAAGAGAATTTTCTCAGGTCTTCATCCTGAGAACCTAAAAGTGCTCCTGGAGTTGACTCATGAAAGTGCAGAGACGTACTAAGAATTGGCCTCTAGGGTTTTTTTTCCATGAATAATTAAGAATTTATTTAAATTATTATAAAATATTCATTATTATTTTTTGCATTTTTATTATGTTATGTTAATCAGCACACATTACATCATTAGTTTTTGATGTAGTGTTCCATGATTCATTGTTTGTGTATAACACCCAGTGCTCCATTCAATACGTGCCCTCTTTAATACCCATCACCAGGCTAAACCATCCCCCCACTCCCTTCCCTTCTAGAACCCTCAGTTTGTTTCTCAGAGTCATAGTCTTTCATGGTTCATCTCCCCCATCAATTTCCCCCTCTTCATTTTTCCCTTCCTACTATCTTCTTTTTTTTTAACATATAATGTATTATTTGTTTCAGAGGTACAAAGGTACAGATTCAACAGTCTTACACTATGGTGAGCACTGTGAATTGTGTAAGGCCTCTAGGGGTTTTTATCTCTCAAGCTGGGTCCACACTGAGTCTCCAGTAATTTAAATGTTTCTACCAGACTCTAGCTGTGGCTTCTGCTCCCTATAAGCTCTGACTCTCTCTATCTGCCTATCACTCTTCTCAATCTATCTTTACTCTCTAAAACCTACACTCTTAAATGAATCCCTCTCAATCTACCCTTATGACTTCAAATTGTTAAACCTTATGGAAGAAAAATACACTAGCCCTGCTCGCCCACGGCATCCAGTGGATCTTGTGTAGTATTTTTCTCAACACACCAAGATTTGAAAGGGCAGTATACATACTATTGGTCAGTAAATGGTTCTGCTGCAGTGGATTGAGGGTAGGAGCACCCCCAAGACTTGGCTGGCTAGCAAGGGTTGCATGAGCAAGTCCATGTTGGGGTCCAGGAGCAGCAAGAGAAGATTGCATCTTATCCTTATCCCAGGAGGATTCACTTCCACCTGAAAAACATTCGTATGAACAGATTGCAATTTGACAAGTTTCCATGAGAAAGCTTTTTGAAAATTCTCTTTCAGGGGTGAAATTATTAAGCTTACATCTTAGAAAATTATTATTAAACATAAGTAACTCATTTTACAATGGTTTCAAAAACTTTCAGTAGCCTTGGATTTAAGCTGCTTCTGAGAAAACTAAACAACTCTAATGATATAGTTACAAGGAGTCTAAACAAATCAGGAATTATAACGAATAGTTTTTGAAAGCACTAACTTGTTGAGAACATTAACTGACTACTACTGCCTCCCATTCTGGCAGCACCAATGTGCTGCCCTGTTCGCTAGCAAAAGAACAAAGACACTGGCTGAGGGCAGCAAACCTTGGTGCTGGCTTTTTGCTGTGATTTACCATAAACTCCGAACGACTGCATGGTCATGCAGCTGCTTTACTGGGACAAACCAGCAAATGGCAAAAGGGCAATGACCCTCCCCTAGAGGATCACTGCAGGTCTGCACCATGTGTGTCCCTAAACTTTGGAGTTTTGAAACCCAGTTGCATGCGTGAGATAAAACACAAGAGTACTATGCCACCTGGCAAGCAGACAACTCAGACATAGATAAGGTGAAGACAAGGATCTGATGGAAGCTAGGGACACAAGAGGGGTGATTATTCACTCTCCTGTGAGGGCTTCCTGAAGAGTGATGGGTTCAAACTCCCCGCTTCAGGGAGGAGAGAGGGGAACAAAGCCATTCCCCTCCCCTGCACCGCAGCACAGACCAACTTTGGTGAACAACACAGTGCCCTGTAGTGGAGACTGGAGCTGCTTATTTTAAGCCCTGCCCCCCATGCCCTACAAGTATATGTCTACCAGGACAGATTGGCATGAAAATCAACCCAACAGGCCCCTTCCCCAGAAGACCAGCACAAACTTCTCACACACATCAAGTCTACTGATCATAGAGTGATGCAAGCTTCAGTTTTGGGGAAATAGAATCCAGCTTCTTCTTTTGACAAGCGGACCAAACACACCTAGTTAAAACTTGCCACACAGTGGACAAGGTAACACCTCCCATTACAGGCAAGGGGAAACTCTGTAGAGGACTTACCTGAGGATAGGAGCAACCAAAACACACCTGCAGCGTTCATATAAGACCTCCACCCTATTTTTTGGACCTCTTCTTAATATAGCCATTACTCTCAGGAGCAGGAAAACAACAGGCTTTTCTAACAATCACACACACACACACACACACACACACACACACAAAACCGTGACCTAGACAAAATAAGAAGATGTAGGAATTCACCCTTAAAGAAAGTACAGGAAGAAGTAATGGCCAAGAATTTAATCAATACAGATATTAAATATATGAAACAAATGCTAAAACAACAATTATAAGGATAGTAGCTGGGCATGAAAAAAAAGCATAGAGAACACTAAAGAATCCTTTACTGCAGAGATTAAAAAGAAAACCCTAAAAACTAGTCAGGCCAAAGTTAAAAATTCTATAACTGAGATGCAAACCCAACTGGATGCCAGGACAATAAGGATGGAGGAAGCAGAGAAATGAATCACTGATTTAGAAGATAAAATTATGGAAAATAATGAAGCTTTAAAGAAGAGGGAAGGAAAGGTATTGGATCACAAATGTAGATTTAGGAAACTCAGCAACTTCTTAATGCATAATAACATTCATATCATAGGAGTTCCAGAAGAAGAGAAAGAAAAAGGGGAAGAAGTTTTATTTGAGCAAATTATAGATGAAATTTTGCCTAATATGGAGAAGGAAACACAGCAAAATCCAAGAAGCACAGAGAACTCCCATTAAATTCAACAGAAGCCAACCATCACCAAGACATGTCATAGTCAAATACACAAAATACACAGAAAAGGAAAGAATCCTGAAAGCAACAAGGGAAGAAAAGTCCTTAACATACAAGGAAGACAGATCAGTTTTGCAACAGATCTGTCCACAGAAACCTGGCAGTCTGTAAGAGAAATGCATAATATATTTAATGTACTGAATGGGAAGATATGCAGCCAAGAATACTTTATCCAGCAAGCCTGTCATTCAGAATAGAAGGAGCGATAAAGGGTTTCCCAGACAAACAAAAAGTAAAGGAGTTCATGAGCACTAAACGAGCCCTTCAAGAAACATTGAAGGGGTCTCATTGAGTGGGGAAAAAAGACCAAAAGCAACAAAGAATAGAAAGAACAGAAAACATCACCAAAACCACCAGCTATACAGGTAACACAATGGCACTAAATTCATATCAACAATCACTCTGAATGTAGATGGACTCAATGCTACAATCAAAAGACACAGGGCATCAAAATGGATTAAAAAAAAAAAACAGAACCATCTATATGCTGCTTATAAAAGACTCATTTTAGACCTAAAGTCACCTGCAGAGTGAAGGTTAGGGAATGGAGAGTTCAGATAGGAGAGGGAAGTAAGATGGCAGAGAAGTAGGGAGACCCTGGGCTTGCCTCTTCCCACAAATACAGGTAGATCAACATCAAATTATTTTGAACAACTAGGATATCAATCTGAGGATTCAGAAAACATTTTGCACAAATGGAGGGAGAGAGAGAATGTGGCAGATGCACGGTTCAGAGACATGAATTGGGGGAGGGGAAAAACCATGGTGCTGTGGAGGGGACAGAGCCCTTTTTGGGGGAGAGAAGTCAGGAAGAGAGGGAGAGTGGGAGAAAGAGCAGGGCATAGGGCTCATGAAAGACACTGTGGTGTGGGGATCCCCTCGGTCACAGTGAAAGAGAATATTCCCTTTCCTGAATTACATTTGGAAGAGGGTATATTGCTTCTCCAAGGACAAAAGACCCATCCAGTGCCAACGAGCAAGTGTTCAACAGCAGGGGACAAAGGCATACTCAAAGGGCAGATAACCTAGTTGCAGCGTTTCACTATGGTTCACAATAGACTCCAGGGACCTGCACAGCCATGCAATTGCTTTTCTGGGACCGAATGGTGTCAGGTGCATGTTGTGAGCCTCTCACAGGGGAGGGGAGTGGGTCTGCACCTTGCCAAGTCTTTATGATTTGGAATTTTGAATCCCAGCCACCAAACAGAGATAAAACACAGAACTGTGACACTGGGCAAGCTGATGACCCAGGCACAGACAGGTTGAGGGCAGGGATCTGACAAAAGCCTGGGGCATAGGAGGGAAGATTGCTTGCTGTCTTTGAGGGCCTCCTGAACAGTGGTGGCCCCAAGTTCCCCTCCCTGGAGGTGAGTGCAGGTTGACAAGATTTTTCACCCCCACCCCCTCAATCAGGCCAAAATTGTGGTCAGACTTCAGATAAAAAAAAAAAAAACAGCACCCTCAGTGGAAGCTGTAGTCACATACACCAAACCACGCCCCCCGTGCCTGGCAGGGGCATCTTTACTAGGGCAGGTCTAACTGTAAGCCAGGGCAGCAAGCCTCTCCCCCAGAAGACAAATCCAGGGCACCCACATATACCAAGTCTACTGATCATAGAGTGCTCCAAAGCATCAGTTTCAGTTATGGTAGACATAGGACCAGACTTTTTATTTTTAATTCTTTTTAATTCATTTTTTTATTTTTAAATTTTTTTAATTTACTTTTTTTTCTTTTTTCTTTTTTCTCTTTAGAATCAGGCTTATAGGTTGTTTGTTCATTTGTTGGTTTGTTTGTTTAAACCTCTCTTTTTGGAATAAGATTCTTTTTCTTCCCTCTTCTTCTGTCTTTGTTTTTCTTTGGAATCATGCTTATAGTTTTTTGTTTGCTTGTTTTTTTCCCCCCTCCCTTTTCACTTTTCTTGGATCAGGCTTTTTTTTAAGGCTTATATTAACAAACAAATCAAAGCACCCCTAGTTAAAAGTCCAAACACTTCCCACTGCAAGCAAGGAGGAATTCTGCAGAGGACTGAACCTGTAGGAAAGACCAGCCAAAACACAAAAGCAGAGTACACACAGCATGCACCAGAAACACTTCCTGAAGTGCCAGGACTGGACAGTGTATGACCCCTTATTAATATAGTATTACTCTCAGGAGCACGAAACATAACAAGCTTTCATAATACACAAAAGACAGAAACCTGGACATGATGACAAAATGGAGGAATTCTCCCCAGAAGAAAGATCAACAAGAAATCACAACCAGGGACTTGCTCAAAACAGTTATAAGCAATATACCTGAACAAGAATTTAGAACAACAGTCAAAACAATACTAGCTGGGCTTGAAAACAGCATAGAGATACAAGAGAACCCCAGGATTCAGGGATTAAAAAACCTGAAATCTAGTCAGAGCTGAAATAAAATGCTATAAGTGAGATGGAAAACCATCTAGATGTAATCACAATTAAGATGGAATAAAGAGGAATGAATAGGTGATATGGAAGATAAAATTACGGAAAATAATGAATCTGAAAAGAAGATGGAAAGAAAACAATTAGATCACAAATATACTTAGGGAACTCAGCGATCCCACAAAGCACAAGAATATCCATATCATAGGAGTCCTAGAAGCAGAAGAGCAGGAAAAAGGTGCAGAAGGTTTATTTGAACAAATTATAGCATATAGCATAGAATTTCCCTAATCTGGTGAAGGAAACAGGCATTTAAGTCCAAAAGGCACAGAGAACTCCCCTCAAAATAAACAAAAATAGATGAACACCAAGAGATAACATAGTGAAATTAGCAAAATAAATAGATAAAAAAAGAATTCGGAAAGCAGCTAGGGACAAAAGGTCCTTAACCTACAAAGGTAGATACAAAAGGTTAGCAGCAGACCTGTCCATAGAAAATTGGCAGGCCAGAAAAAAAGTAGCATGAGATATTCTACATGCTAAATGGGAAAAATATGTGGCCAAGAATATTATATCCAGCAAGACTGTCATTCAGAATATAAGAAGAGATAAAAAGTTTCCCAGAGAAGCAAAACCTAAATGAGTTCATGAAGACTAAACCAGCTCTGCATATATTAAAGGGGACCCTCTGAGCAGGAAAGAGACACCAAAAA